GACCACTTGGAGGCAGTGTGAGCTCATCAAAGGCTCGATCAAGTCTCATGCCATGCAGAAAATTTGATGCCAACCTCTGGGAATATGATTACATTTGTGGATTAGCACCCTTCAGATATGAGTCCTCCATTTTAATGTTGTAGCAGATCAATGTAATGACAAGTTTGACTAATTGGTCAACCAAGTAATAATATATTTTATAATAATTACCAGTAATTTAACTCAGTCACTTAGTCACTCTAGACGTCCATATAAAACACATTAATTTAATAAATAAAAATGCAATTACCAGAGTTGTATTCATTCATTGTAGTCAATTAAAAGTTCTATTATTATAGATACATATGTTGTGTTTTGACACACACACAGCCCATTGTCACAACACATGGAGAGTTTTAGTGGCGATATCTGATCTCATAGCATTTGAATATCTGGCCTCTATGAATAGAAACAAACTGTATATGTGTGCTATAGTATGTGACAGTGCTTTGAATAAGGGTCTTCTGTCTGACAATAATTTGAACTAACTTCAGGCTACAGAGCTGTGACACCACGGGCAGCAGTTTTAGTCGCTGATCTCCTGCTCTACACCCAATGTACATCCAGAACTGGTACTCCTGGATCTACAGACCTGTCACAATGCATGATGGTAAATTTCCTTCAGTCTTTTGAATCTTATTTCAACTTTTCTTCTTACTTTTTATATCAACTTTTATACCAAAACAAATAATAATAAAAAAATCGATCCCAACCAGAAAATTTGATCCCAACAAATGTAATTGTGCTCAGTTTCCCACAACCGGCATCATACTGACACTGTTTCATCGTTTTAAAATGTCAGACAGAGTCTAATATGATTGTATTTGTGGATCAGATATCAATAGCTGAAACCCTAGCATGGGCATGTTTCTTGAAATCAATCACTTTCGTGAATCTTTGTACGTGTTCGAGCTGAGTCAGGTGGTCGGCACAGAGACATGGTGGAATTTAATCGTTACAAATGAATTTGCTTGGTTTCATCAGCTGTGACAAACCAAGAGCAAGTTGGTGTAAGTTTATCCAGTTGTTATTTATGACATTACTAAGACGCACATACGGGTTCAAGCCAAACAGAGTGCTGAGCACACTGCTGAACTGTTGTAACCTGCTCGTACTGATGTTCTCTCTCTTTCCTGTCACTCTCATGTGCTTGGATGAAATTGATTTCTGCTGTGAGATCTGATTACAGCTCACAGTGAATTTAAGACTGATATACATAAATGTGACCTTGGTCCTTTTTCCTTTTTTTTTTGATGTTTCAAACAGATAGAATTCTGGCTTCTTCTTTTTTTTTTTCCTCCACTGTAAGAACTGCGTTTCAAGAACACAATATGTTCACTGTGAGCGAATGTGCATGTGCTGAGTAAGCAGAGCAGCTGATGAACCCACAAGGGTAATTGAAGGGAAATCGATTTCAGTCTTGTGAAGTCACTGTGAAACTAACAAAGCAGTAAAAGCGTTGATACAACGTTGTTTAATACACATTGAACTTGGAGATCTCGAAACATGTGGCTCAGGTCCAGCTTGATAGCTTGGAAACTGCTGTGTAGCCATTATTACATGCTGCTGGAGTAAGAGAAACAAGTGTTAGATGTCATGTAATGTTCTTCTTTTAGAAACAAAAACACAGAAGAGTTTTCAGTTACATATTAAAATATTAGCAATACTTTGTATAACTCTATAACCTATAAATAGATGTTTTTGAGTAGCAAGTGTTTGACACATACTTTGTTAAAGCAGTTTTAATCATCTTGACAGTAGAATTTGGGCAAAAGTGTTTAAACAACAATAGGTTCCCTTTTAGTCTCACATGATTTGTGCATCTTAAAACAATACTAACATGCTTGTACTGTATGCTTTATGCATTCACATTGCTGTACTCCAGTATGGCTTCTCCTGTTCATACTGGCTGTGAAGAGATACCTGTAAAAAATGTGCTAATATACAGCTAAAGCTAATTTGAGGCCTCAGCACATTGATCAGTAAAAACAAGTGGGGATGTTTTTCAGTGAAAAATTCCCTCTTCCAGTTTCCTTGTTGCGGTGCAGAGGAGGGACAATAAAACAAAAAGGGGGGTTCATACTAAAAAGACTGTAACTTTGGAAGAAGCACAGAGGTGTGACTGATTAGTTCTCAAGTGGTTTTGTGAAAGAAGTGGTCGCTTTGGATTTAAGTATTTGCATGAGGTGAACCAGAGGTGCTACATATTGATATTAAAGACACGATCTGACGCACAAGAGCATCGGCCCACCACCAAATTCAAGATATGGAATAGGAAGGTTTGTTTACACATCAGTGGCCTGAATTTTCAACTATGACCTGTTGGGAAATGCACAAAAAAGTTTATTTTCCAGGTTTTTCTTTCCAACTTCAATGTTACCTACATGCCGTTAAGACCAAAATTATTGATACTGCTTTAATTTTTTCACATTTTATGTCGCAGCCTTATGCTAAGATAATTTTTAAAAATCTCTTTCCTCCTTATCTTCTTCCCATTTCTCTTGATCATCTTTGAGATGGCGGTTTCTCCCATCTCCACACAGGATCTGTGGAGCTCAGCCACAGTGACCTTCAGGTTCGTGGTCACCTCTCGTAACAAAGCTCTTCTCCCCTGATTGCTCAGCTTGGGCAGATTCTAAGCAAGCTCTAGGTAGAGTTCTGCTTCTTCCAAACTTCTTCTATTTACGAAGAAGTCCTCTGTCCTCTTGAATGCAGCAGAATTTTTTTGAAGCCTTCCCCAGATCTGAGCCTCGACACAATCCTATCGCTGAGCTTTTTTTTGTTTTGTTTTTTTAGCATAAGGCTGCAACATGACAAAAAGTGCAAAAAGTGAAGGGGAAGTCTGAATAAATATCTGTAATCCATAGCATGCCGTCATAAAATGCTGAAACTGCCTTTAACAAGCATGGTAAGAAGTGACAGGAGGACAGTGTTTCCAACAGTCTTTTTCCTGCCTGTCATCCTGTCTACATGTTAGTCATGGGGGGGGCAAGTTGGGGCTTTTACTTTTGTTCTTTTAATGATCAGAATAAACCCAACAGCGCAGATACAATCTCTTTGCTCCTGTGCATGAACCACCTGGCTGTCCTTCAGCACTGAGATGACCACAGATATTGCTGACGGTGACTTTCACTTATAAAGACAAAAGCAATGAACTAAATCAGAGCGCTGTGCTGTACTGTGTGACTTTGAGCTTAAAAGAGGGAAAGGTGACCGCGCCCCCGGGTGCTGATGTAGACATTTATTTAAGGGCTGAAGCCACGAGCTACTGTACTTAGTAATTCCCTGACAGCTGATGACTGCAAAATACTCTGAATGTTGTGATAACCAGCTGCCGGTAAGAATAATCCGACTCAAGATCACCATCTCAGCACAGAGACACTTTATAGTGGTTTATATTAAATGAACTGAGTTAAGATAAAAGTTGCTGTGGTCTAAAGTATTCGCATCCTGTGGACGGCAGCTGGGATATTTGGTCTGTTTTCACTGATCCTGTCCGTGAAGGAGATAACACAGATAAACACAAAGATACTGTTAATGAAGGTGACTGCGGCAAGAGAAAGAGCATCAAACCTCAGCATGACTGAATGTTTTGCCACATACAGAATAAACAGAGATGTGAAATATAACCTGTTCACAGCCCTGTCATAACCATAAATCCTGCTAATTAAGAAAACAGACACAATAACCTCACTGTCAGGTTTATTCTTCTCTTTATAGACTGGCAATCCTCATCATAGGATGAATGGTGAATTCAGTACCTTTTTTTTATTGACTTTAACTGTTGTTGACACAGGCGGATTGATTAAGAACTCATTACGACGATGACCCAGCAAACAGCAGGAGGCCACTCGCCGGACGGCTCAATTAAAAGCCTTGTGAAACAAAATACAGCAGAGACATGACAACACAGGACTCATGGATCAATAGCAGATGAGGACTGCGACAGCGCGGTCGACAGGAGAGGAGACCGGCTCGGGCAGAGGACGTTCAGAATGCTGCGTCACAGCTCAGAGGTTTTTAAAACTAAAGCTGTAAATGCAGGAATGAATGTGTCCGACTGTTTTACTGTCGAACTTACATAATGGACGTGGAAGCTAAAAGATTCATCAGTTCACGAACTGATCAACTGACAAAAAAACACCTCAGTAAATGAATTCTTGTGCCATTTTTACGATGCTGTGGAAGTTTTAGAAGAAAAAACACATTCACATGAAAAGCTGAATTCAGAAGCACCAGAGGAGAATTCAGTGCACACTGCAGTTCCTCTGCTATGATCTTATTTCAAATTAATATTATTGGCTTTACTGAGACAGGTCAGTGTGTGACTGTTGCTCTATGTTATTGTGTCATATTCGCTGTTATCAGTCTCACTGATAAATAGTCCTCAGGTAAAATGTAAAGAACTTCTTTGGGATTCGAATGGTTGTTTAGACCAGTGGTTCTCAAAGTGGGGTCCAGGGACCCCCAGGGGTCCTTGATGGGGTTCCCAACAAAAAGGGGAATAATTGATTTTCACTATAATTCCATCCATAAGTAACACAATGACAGATCGTGTGACTGTTTGGGTCATGGGTTTAAACACTTTCTGTAATAAAACATCTAAAAGCAAAAATCGTATCTGGTATCTGGGACCTTGGTCTAATTTGTGTCGGGTCCTTGAAGTGAAAAATACTGAAAACCAATGGGTTAGACAAAACAAGATGGAGATGTTTACTTGGTTTTAGAAATGTTTTGAGACCGTTTTTAGAAGAGAAAACGATTTGCTTGATCCCCATTTATTTATATCACTTTCATACAGTCTTTTTTTTGTTCTCCTTTCGCATAGAAAATGATGAACCAAACATAATCCTGATTTGAACAGCTACCTGACACGTATGCGTCTGCTACTACACCTTCTCCTGAGTTGTGAGTGATGAAGAGTTACTAATTTGCTCCGTGCAGCACTTGCTTGAGAGGGTTCAGTGATTGCTTTGTCTGAGATCTATGTGTTTTTGCTTCTGGTAGAACTTGGAGAACTTGTTGAAGATGTTAGTAATGGGCAGAGCTACAATCAGCAGTCCACAGATGATGCACAGGGTTCCTATCAGTTTCCCAGCAAGCGTAACGGGGAAGGTGTCACCGTAGCCCACTGTGGTCATGCTAATGGTGGCCCACCACCAGCCAATGGGGATAGTCTGCAGCTCTGACTCTTGAGATTCCTTCTCTACAAAGTAAATGAGAGCCGAGAACATGGAGATGCCCACAGACAGGAAAAGCACCAGCAGCCCAACCTCGCGGGAGCTGTGCCGCAGCGTGGCGCCGAGAGAGCGGAGGCCAGCCGAATGGCGAGCCAGCTTTAGGATGCGAAACACTCGCATCAACCTCAAGATCTGCACCACCTTGCCAACGTTCTCCAATTCTGTGCTTTCACCTTCATCCATTATGTCACAGGCTATAGTCACATAGAAGGGTATAACTGACATTAAGTCAATAATATTGAGAGGGCTGCACAAGAACTTCCTGGCTGATGGAGCAACCACCAAACGAAGAATAAACTCTGCAGAGAAGAAGAGCACACAGAGGTTCTCAAAGAACGACAGCACTGGGTTCTCGATCTCTTTTTCATTGGCGTCCACCTGATGGAAGTCCGGCATGCTGTGAACGCACATGGCCACAATGGAGACGATAACCATGCTTAGGGAGGCCACGGCCATCGCTTTGGCTGAAGTGGAGTAACCTGGATTCTCAAGTCGAATCCAGATATTCCTGCGGACATCTGCACACCAGGAGCCTTCAAACATTTCTATGTTCTCCTCCACAGCCGACAGCTCCTCACTGGAGGAGTCTGAGCTGTGGGGCTGCAGGTCGTCGCTCCTCTGATCCCAGCACTTGTCCTCAGAGAGCTCCCTCAGCTCATAGAATTTGTTGCTGCAGCAGAAGTCCAGGTGACGCTCCTTTATGCCCCAATACTCAATCTCTTGACAAAATGAGACTACACACAGTCCGTCAACCAGGTGGATTTTACCTGTGAGGTAAAAGTTGAGGACGTAACAGAAGAATCGAGGGTTGCGATCGAAATAGTACTCCATCTCAGAGGGACTAAAGTCGTCGCAGAGCTCCAGGATCGCCTCTGTGGAGCTGCAACACAGGAGACGTCCGAGGCGTGTCTGTGGGAATTTTCTCAGCACGGTGTGCTCCATCCTCTGTTTGAAACCTCCAACGTTGACATTGATGAAGCAGTCGTCAGAGCTGTGCTGATGGAAGATCTGACCGTACACCATGGTGCAGCAGCTGCTTAGAAGCTGTTCACTGACTCCCGGTGAAAATCTCAGAGGCGTTGTTGCCTGCACAGAAACCCAGTGAAATTAGCACACCTCACACTTTCTTGTTTGTCATTTGAGAGCCTTTACATCAGGGCCAACCAGTATCAAGTAGCATCTGTGTTTCTGTGACGCCCCATGATTAAATGACAGAATCACTTGCTGTGCGTTTTTTTTTTATTTACAATCTGGAGATAAAATGTTTCCATCAGATGTTAAAAATACAGTTAGGTAGTTTCTATTTGTGTGGCAAATTACATGTTACACATCATGACAGCACTCTACAGTTTGTCTGCATGCATGCTGAATGCATGCAGACATTTCATTTACTTGCAATTAATGAACACTATTAAACTTTTAAGATTAGTTAGATATTAGCTAGATATAAAAATGCATCAGAAATTAAACTTAACACATGGACAACAGGCTCAGTAAGTGGTTCAGATCATAAAACTACAACTAATTTAAAATTCAGTGGATGCACCATCTGTGTATTTCGAATAAAGCTATGTTTACTATCCAATATTCCTTACATGCAAACAGCAAACAGTGAGTTGATTATTGGACAGCAGTCATCAATACCTGCTATCTGTCCTGCTTGCAGCTCTTAACCGAGCAGCACCGTCTCACTTGTATTGTGTTACGCTGTAATATAGTGTTTCAAATTGCAGCGGATGTCGAGCCAAGGTCAGATTTTGAGACGTTGCTACAGCCGCAAAAGTTGTTGCAGACTCAACGGGAGGAATCGATGACTACAGACAGTTAACAGTGAAAAAACAAAGCAGACTTTTGCGCTTTTTCCAAAGTGGCTGCGGCAAACTCTCTAAAACAAACGCTCAGCAGGAGAATACTTATATTCCCTGTTCAAACGTCTCGTCATAGACGCAAAAGCGGGAGGGAACGGTAACAGCAGCTCACCTGGCCATGTGTCGTCCCGCTGATGTCCTGTCGCTGCTCTGCTCCGCTCCGCTCAGCGCGCGGCCCGGTGAGGTGGTGTCTCTGAGTCCAGCGCAGGGCGGGACGCAGCTTTCTGACAGGACAGCTGATCACACGGCTGGTCCATCACACACACACACACACACAACCCCCCCCCCCCTACTAACTGCGATGTAGAATACATTTACACTCTGATGTGTCATGGCGTTACCAGCCAAACTTATCACTGTAAATATTTGATGTTCCTTTAGGCTAAAGTGTTCACATTATTCTTGTTGTTAATTGGTTTGCATCTTTGTGTGCTGTGGATATTTCCCGTGGACGTTTTATATCAAATGAGATTAAACTTCGGAAAAATAAATGGCAAAAACTACCACAATACAGCAGAGGGGATATAAAGTATAAAATAACTAAATAAACAATATGTTGCAAAGGAAATAAAAATAAAAATAGATTAAATATAGCAGCAGGCCTATTGTGTAGCATATCTGCATCGTGGATAGTGTTTGACAATACATTCAATATTGATGCAATGTTTGATAGGAGAGGAGTAAAGGTGTGCAACGTGGATAAGGCCGCCAGCGTTCCTTGAAGTAGCATAAAAACTTGCGGGTTGTGCTTTCAGTCAGAGCTGAAAGTTAAATCACTTAATAATAATTAAAACATTCTTGCCTATTGGGGATTGCATGTTAAAAAAAAACATTACAAAAACCTAACCGCAAACAGGAGAGGGCAGTCCTAAAAAGTGCGTCTTTTTAAGTGAATGAGTCAAAGGATCTGAAGAACCCCAGTGTGATGCAGGATTACTTAAAATATGATGAGACACTGCAACTACTCATTCAATTCTCAATTAAAGATCACAAAAGCCCAGCAAAGATAAAGTAAAGTGAACATTCATCAATTTCAATATTGATTAAGTTCTGACAAATCAAGCTGCACTGGCACAACCAGAGTCTTTAGTGTAATGAACATTAGCAGTATCATCACCACGCACATTATACAGCAAATTATGGAAAATGACCTTAAAATATGCAAAACAGAATACTATATATATATATATATATATGTGTGTGTGTGTGTGTGTAGAAACAGCCTTGATACAGTGGCTGTTTTATGCTGTGTGGTCTAACTGATGCCATTTACTGACAGCAGATGGCAGAAGGAGACTATCAGAGACAGATCAGCATGTGTGGGTTCAGACCAGCAAGATTCAGTTCAGTCCAGACTTTAGCAGTGGCGCCAGTAGGATATGGTTTTACACCTACTTCATTAAAGTTATATTCTGCAACCATTAGTGTTGTGTAAATTATTTATCATGTGATTAATGTCTACGGTCAAGTTTTTTTTACGTTCAGGCAAATGTTTTTGTCTCGAGTTCAGAAATGTGCACACTGGTTTATTTCCATCCAACTCTTTCATGTACCAAGAATTAAACCCACAATCAAACAGTGTTTCCCATCGATCCATGTGTTTAATGTCCACCAAACTGACCTCTGAGGGGCAGGGGGCATACATCACTGAAAGAGGTTGTTCATCTGGTTGAAGATACTTGAGAGCTCCTTACAAATGGTCTGCACAGACACTTGTTATTTGCTGGATGAAGTGGGATTTCTAGTTTTCAAGTCAGTGAAAATGGATTGCTAAATATTTCCGATAAAAATAAATTTTTATACATAAATTGTTGTATGTGACTTGAATACAAAAATAGCCAACAAACAATTATATTAATTCAAGTGTTTTACAATATTTATGGTAAAAGAAAAATATTTAACAGTTAATAAAGAGAGACAAACTGAAGATATTTTTCTGTTTTGACTGCTGACAACATCAGTTTAGGTGCTTGTTATGTTTGCACTTTCATAGCTGCCTACTCAAGAATTTACCACAAAAATTTTTTACAAAGAAACAAATGTAACCAAAACAACATTACAAAGCTTTGAAATGCAGTTTTCTGTCTGTAAAAAAGTTTTTATGAAACTTAAGGTATTAGGCTTCAGGCCACAGGGCTGTGGCACAGTGGGCAGCAGTTATACTTGCTGATCTCCTGCTCTAGTGCACAGTGTTTACACACACTGCACATCCAGAACTGGTACTCCTGGATCAGCAGCCCGGTCACGATGCATGTGGGTAACTTTCCTTCACCCCTAAAAGAAGAAAAATAGAATTAATTAGTAATTTCAGGGATTTTACTTTGACATATGGTATGGCAGCAGAAAAAGAGTAAAAGGGTTAAAAGGAAAACAAGGAGCTTCCAAGAGTGACCAGTTCAACTGTGCAATTTACACCAAATATGTCCCTGGCTCTGGTGCTCTATGCTGTTTATTATACTACATAATAATAAGTATTTGCCTTGTTTACTCAAGATAGTGTCAGCTTCATGGAACCTGCTAAAATTTGATATAACATACAGTATGTTAGTGTTAGTATGGAGCAGTAAGACTAACAACCTTTTTTTGTCTAATATAATTTATTTTATTCTCTTTTATTTATTTATCTTTTTTTTTTTTTCTTAGCAATTTCACTATTTTTGAATTATCTGTGAATTTTGGAGAGTGACAGTAATTCATGGCCCAGTGTTACTTATATCCCCCACATGTACTGGCTCTGTGACAGACTTCATCCTCAAAAATTAACCAAACTATTGTGTGATTGTGTAAAACCATCTGTTTGAAGTCAGAAGTAAAAACATCTCTGTTTTGAAAACTGAAATATAGGAAGTTGGATGTTGTTCATTGTGAACTGCTCTGGTCACTCAGATTATTGGGTCATGCTCTAATAAATAACTTCACAATAGCTTCCTAATGGTTTAGTGAAGCTATAGTTTGGTTTGGTCAGTGAATGTGGAACATAAATTAACTTTAGCTTTCATTTGAGAGGAGGACATTCATCACTAGAGCAAAGCTAATCTCATGGTGGACCATCAGCCTCGATTCAAATGAATCCAATAGGAAAAAATAGCAAACTTTCTCTTCTTCAAAGGCATTAGAATAACACATAAAGTGATTTTACAGCCAAACAGTTCGGGGAACTGGTCCTCCCATCTGTGTTTGGGGCAAAGGTTTGACATGAACTCATTGGTGCCCTCACCCCTCTGCTGATCTTTCCCGCTCCACCATGTGGGTGTCCTTTGGGGTGTACTTGGTGAAGATCTCCAGGGCCAGATCCTCATAAAGCTGCCGTTGTTCAGGCAACAGACTATCCAGGGATTCCAGTTTGATAAAGGCCTGTGAGCATGTTCCGAACGCCCGGTTGGCTGTGGAGCAAATGGCAAGTAGAGAGTAGATCTCCACTGCTGGGATGATGTCCTCATACTCACGCAGGTGTAAGGCTTTAAAAATGGAGATAAAAAGTGAAGAGTGAGACTAGACTTAACTTGACTTTGTAAAGTCTTGTCAAACTAGTAAAAAGTAAAAATAAAATCACAACAACTTGTCTGATAGCATATGACTGCTTGCTGTGATAATTCTCCTCCATGTTTGCCTTTGTTTGAGAGTTGTCAGATGTAAACACGTCCACTGGCCTCAAATGCAGGACAAACCCAGTTTTGCATAGGCCACTTTTTGCACTCATTATGTATGCATCTGCTCACAGTATAAAGGAACATGACTTCAGTGTCTCACAAATTGAGTTGATTTTAGAAAAAAATTACATTTTTAGTTTTAACCACCGCAGGCAACATCTAATTCCCTCCTAAGGGCTGAGGAAACACAAGGGCAAATAGATAAAGAAGGTGATAAATACAGACGTGTACACGTATATGAGTGAGCTGTTAATGATTAACACAACTAAACATTCTAAAATGATGTAGTGAGCAGCAAAGGCTCAGTCCCTTTAGATTTTAGTTTAGTTTGTGGGACAGTTAGGAGACCACAGACACTGAGGAGGGTGATATGATTTTAAAGGTTAAACAATGTAGTCTAGTCTGTAGTCTTTTTTTAAACCCCATTAGTTATGAAGGAATTTTAAAATTGATCCTAAAATGTACCTAACTTAATGTGGTATAATGATTTTTTTTTTTTTTTACA